TGGACGTACTGGGAGCTCCATGGTCTCAAAAAAATCATGTGTAGCATTATCACGCGCAACTTGAATGTAAATATTATGCAATAATAATGGTAAAGTTTAATCTCTGACAAATAAAAAGACGCAACAAATTGACCTGGTGGTGTATTTGACCTCGAAAGCTTACTGCATAGCAAACATGAACAAAATGATTTATAAACAGACTATAACTACAAACTAAACAAATTCTACTCAAATTAATTCTACAGTTTTGCTTTCTCAGGCGATCCTGTGCATAAAACTGAAATTTAAACAGGTCGGCATTTTACCGGTAAACCGGAAAATCAATGCATAAATTAACTTGTCAGAAGTGTGAATTGCCTCCTGCCAGTACGGTAACGGCCTTGCCGGTACGGCTAATGACCTTCGGGTACGGTAAAGCAGCGGCCGGTACGGTAAAGCAGCGGCCGGTACGGTAAAGCAGCGGCCGGTACGGTAAAGCAACGGCCGGTACGGTAAAGCAACGGCCGGTACGGTAAAGAAACGCATGCCGCAGGAGACTCACAGGAAACCGGCTTGGTAATGATCAGTTCCCTAAGTGAATAATTAATGCATTTATAGTAACTGGATGCTTACACCAGGATTTATGACACCTGATGAATATCCTGACAGATCCTGCTTTAAGTGCCACAGTTGTCATACTGCATCACGTTATATATGGGTCCCATGCAACATACCGGTATACAATGCATGCAAAATACATTTTGTGTTTACATGAAATTCGTATACCTATATGGTTGAAAGCTTATTTTTCATTTGAAAAAAACAAAACATTAATACCATATGTAAATTTTGACATTATAAAAACATTTAATATATAAAACAAAAATACTTCAAATGATATACATGGAAAATATCACAACTTTGTTAATTAGAGGAAAGAGTGGGTGATATACACTGGGATTGCACAAACATTTGGAGAATGGTAAAAACAGAATTTTGTATTTTGAACGAATTAAATTTATTCCATCCTTTTGTAGCCTCTGTAAAGTTTAATCTTTAAAAAAAACGATTTTTTTATGGTGGATATAAATTGGCTTGTTTTGATTCAAAATGGACTTTGAGACGAATATATTTGCAGAGAATGCTGTCATAGTTCAAGGTTGTTAGCAAAATTTAGTTGAAAGCCCTTTTAAGTATTAAACTTGACCAAAATAAGTTACAGCACTTGACATATTGCGCAAGTTATATTTTGTCTTCATTTCAATATTATGCTTTGGTGTTCTAATTCTGCTGGATTTTAAATGATAAAAACTCGCAATCTACAAAAATGCTTGGTGATGCCAATTGCCAAGGCACTTCCAACTTGGATATCTTGCTAAATTTTTAATGTACATGTCGCACTTATTACTCGACATGGATTCACTTACATGTACCAATTCATAATAGTATCAATAGTACACACAAACAAACAATTGCATTTACTGTAAGCTGGGTCATAAAAGTACGACTCAATCCATAAGCCTATGAGCTAATGATTGTTGAACTGTGATCATCACTGTCTTTTATATTTTCATTTTTAGACTCGAAATAAGTGCATCTTAAATGCCAAATCTATGTAAATGTGCGTATGTACAATCCCTCCAAAGCTAAGTCATAATGCTGTTCCAAAGCAACTTCAATTTTGAATATTATGCCTCAGATTATTGCGGTTTGCATTTTTTAAAATTATTTGAGGAATTCTCATAGGGTATTCTCAGAAAGTACCAGGATGTGTGACCTCTTTGGATGTCGCGCATGAAGCCTATTGTGAGGAATTTCGCATGATCAATAGAGAAGGTGCTTTATGGCCATATTCAGATAAATTTGATATCAAATAAAGCCCCGCATGCGAAATGACTTGTTTCAAGCATGTGACCTTTGACCTGTTAAAAATATTTTTGTCACTTTACAAATTTACACTTTACAAAGTATATTTATTTGGTCCAAAATGAAAATAATGGTATCTTCTGTTTAATATGAATTTTCACTGATGAAAATGTTTTCAATGCATTCATGTGGACAAAATATTTTTCAAGTCATTATCTTTAGAATCTCGGTTCACAGCTGTTATTATCCCTGATTCACAAACACTTCCAGCATTCCTCTTACAGAGATTCACAACAGTACACTATTCCTACAAGTCTGGTTCCCTGCCCCAGTTTCAAAATTGAAATCGGGACAGGGGACCAGAATAAATGGGGGCCATGAATAGAGTTTCGATCTGAAGTCTTCATCAATAACAAATATTTTTCGTGAGATTTACATATTCAAAATATGGATGATTGGAGTTTGTTGGTTTGAACTTGTATTGCTTACACCAATTTACGTCATTTTAATGTCACAGACGCGGCAAACAGTAGAGGGTGCGAAAAATGCATTATGCAGGTCTGTTATCATAAAAGCTGACTTTACAATTCAAAGGGTTTTAAACAAATTCTGTCCCAAAGAAAACCATTTGTATAAACAACATTGTGCAGCCATATTGATGAGGTTAAAAAGACAAATCTGGATTTCAATTGTTTTATTCAAGAAAAACAAATGAAGCTATATTTGCCTTTATAATCCAATTTCTTAGAAACGGTAAAAAACTTGCATTTTGTTTTAAAGGAGACTTAAAAATAAGTCATTAATGTCAATACTATCCCTAATTGTCTAAAATGCTCGCTGGTGTACAACTGAAAAAAATTCTATACAATATTTACATATCGATAAAAATACACTTTTATTCGTTGTTGAAAAATAACTAATTTCAAGATGTTTGGTTGTTAGCCATTACTTGTAAAAAGATATAGAAAAAGAAGAAAAGTTTGGCAGAGAAGAATATAATTTTTTTTCTTTAATTTTGTTCACACTCTGTAATTAAAGTGAAATAGAAAATCGTTTCATAAACAAACTCGGGGAAGAACAGGAGAACTATTTGCTGTCATGGATTTGTTCATTTCTGTTTTCATTTCTCTTCACAGTGATTCTTGAAGTTGCCAAGTAGTCAGTAGTACCGGTAAATGAATATTACTTTCAAAGTTATGAAGATGTTACAGAGGCTAGTTTTTCAGCGAGTTGTTTGTCTCGTTCCATTGCTGCTTCCTCTGCCTCTTGTTTTGCTCTATCGACATTTTGTATTGTTGTTCCTAAGATGCCTTCAATATCCTCAATGGCAGCCTGAAGAAGAAAAGTAAACTTTAGATTAACTTTATAAGCTTTGGGTGTAATGTATGAACAGATGCAACATGCACAGGAAATTGAATTGGAAAAATGGTGTCAACAGGAAATTATCCATTTTCAATAAATTGCACTCCTGCTCAAAAAATAAAAAAAATATTGACTTTAAAATGGTTTGGGGTCACCAGCCAATTTTTTGAGAATGCTTTTACCCTTGGGAGCTATGATGGAGATATTATGTTGAATCTATCGAAATTATCCGCTGGTGATGTTTTTATTTATTTTATTTATTCTGGGTTTTATAAAGTTACGAAAATACTGTTTTGCAGCAATATTGTGTTCTATGGAATTGTTCTAAAAATAGCAATACTGTACTGTAACGCACTAAGGAATACTGTTACCAAGGAACTCGCTCCATGATATTTATGACCAATTTTCATAAAAATAAGAGTATAGGGTTCATCATTCATCAAGCTTTATTGGGGGTTCCATGCGTTTGACTGTCTAAATTAGAATTTTTGGAAAATATATGATAAACATTGAAATTTCAATAGTTTTTTGGGTTGTTGCTTTGATAACACATATGAATTATTTCACAATATGCATGGATTCATAAAGGTTCACATTTTGTTCGGAATTACTGGGGGCAACCTGGCCACAGTAATTCAAAACAAGGAAGAATCCCGATGAATTCTTTCTTTTTTCTGTGATGCATGCAAATTTAAACCCCCAAATATTGCACATAATAGTCCCAAGACCCCAATAAAGAATATGTGTTGCACAGAAGTCCACTTACACAGTGCTAACATACTATGTGCACTTAACGTTGAATAGAACACCAGTCAATTTTATTTCAAGTTTCCTACAGTTACTTGTTCATGTCCATTGTGTGTGATACACTTTATAACAATCTGAATAAAATGTTCCCAGCTACACAATTTCTAGATTTTCTCTGTCTCTCGTGAAATCAATTTTGATTATCTCAATAAAGCAAATAAAGTTAAGGGAATATTCATCTCTGATTTGGTTTTCATGCAGATATCTTCTTACCTTAAAGTTGGTTTGTCCTTGCATGTTTGGAGCTGAAATTTCTTGGTGAATGACTGACAGATTTCTTGCAAACGTTGCGAGAGATCCTTGTAATTCCTCCCCTATAGTCAGCATACCAATACCTTCCCGTTTAAAACTGTCAATCAGTGTAAATACAGTGCCTTGTTTCTCCTGAAAGGAAAGAGAAGACTTTAAGTTTAGCGTCAAATATACCAATGGAAATGCATTTTTTATATTTGGTTAATGCAACAAAACATTGCAATACCAAGTATATCTCCTCTTGCAACTTCTACTACTGGACTGATCCATAGAACAACTGATTTGATCTCTGTCACAATTTCTGAATGTAAATTGAGCCCAAGATACGCTTGATAACTGTAAAAGGCAAAATATTCCTTAGCTTTTGAAATCATTAGCCTGTGAAGGGATTAAACTACAATGTATATGTTAACTTTTCATACTCGCTGGGTTAATAATTTACACCATTTAGTTATCAGTGAAATAAGCGTAAATAAAACTCAGCTAATAATTAAGTCATTTACAGAATACCACAAAATACTTCTTTTATAATGTAAAGCAGGTATAGAACAAATAGTGTTTTTGATTTGAAAAGCGATCTTCGCCACCAAAATACAATTGAATTATTGGACGTGTTAAAGGGCAGAAGTCGTCGCATCACATACGTGCATGTAAACAAAGCATCTCATGTAAACAAAGATGACTTTGACTGTTGAACAAGTGAACGAGTACAGATTTTACCAAGCTTTGATTAGGTGATTGGAAGGTATCGAAGGAGTCAATGGCAGTAATTAGTGCAAGTGGCGCCCGGGTCAAACCTCGTACATTGGATTGTGGGTAAATCAATGTTTATCAACACAAATGTTGTACATGTGCAGCGCAACAACTAATAAGTATAATTTGCAAGTGTAATGCATCAGCGCTTTGAGCCGGAGGTGGATCAACCTATTAAAAGGGAATGATAAATTCATTTTATTCAGTCACTTGTTTGGCAGGAACCATACAGAAGAACAATGACATTAATGCGATAGTAGAGGACTCATCACGTCTTACCTTAATATCAAAGCCAATGCCATGTGCTCTACACATCTGAAAGAACACGCTGTAGTGTACGACTGCTAAGTTGGTATGCAGCAGCCTGGTACTCATCACGGCAAAACGATTGATGTTTGGTGGCACCTGGAAGATTAATATAGTTTATAATGAATTTTCTTTGTTTCATATTACCGGTATCTTCAAAAAGAATTAAGTGATGTTAGTGCACTTACGTCAGGTTCTTCAGGCTCCCATCGACTCCTTCTCTTGGTTTTCTTCTCTTTCTTTGGTGGTGGCACTTCAAACACAGAATTCTTTGTATCCAGCTTACCACCCGTGACATACAACATCAATCCAGTCATCGCCATGGTGTCATTGTATGACAAATTTAGATCTATAGCCCAGAGCTTTTGATCCATCTAGTTAATAAATTAGATAATGTCATGTGGCACGGTTAAATTTACAGAAATGCATGTGTGGTATGTATGTAAAGGTGAGTATGATTTCAAATATGGAGGCCAGTTAAAACCTTGCCAATAAAGATATAAAATACAACTCGGCTACTTTCCTCTCAGATGACAATAATTGTTATTTGAAAGGGAAACTGATTCAGCAGCGCAACTGCTCAAAGCCATCATAATTTGAAAAAACAAAAACGCCCCTTACCGTTTTTGCATCAATAAACGTTAAAAAGTCAACCGTGAAGTGACCAATCACACCACGTTGGTGGCAGGCTTTAGCAATCTTCATACAGGCATCATTCAACACAGTAGGTTCCACTGACGACTGGGGAATGGATATACCCCACGCAGTGAAGGGTGTTTCTGCATGTATCTGATCCCCACAGGAAATAACATTAATTTTACCAGTTGGTTCTATTAACACATCTACAGATAACGCAGTGACACTCTCAGATGGCGGGCATGCTTCTATGATGCCTCCTAGTGATGAAAAAGACAGAAAATATGAGGTGAACACTGACTTATATTTCTTCAAATACATGTACAAGAAAAATGTAGACCTACTAATTGAGATATAAAATGATGCTTTGCTTTAATCCTCTGAATGCCATAATTATTCTCATTTTGTCTATTTTTATGTATTTCTATAATTTCTTATAGGCTATATGTCTTAATTCAATTTTTTCAAAAATTATGAAAACGTTATGTGAATTTAAAATTTGTGTATGGTGACAAAAGTTGTGTTTGGTGCTCAAAGGGTTAATGATATGCAAATTACCTAATTAATATGCACATACGGTGTATAGAACTATTTTGTGAATGGTGAGAAAAGTAGACTTTGGTGCTCAAAGGGTTAATGATATGCAAATTACCTAATTAATATGCACATACGGTGTATAGAACTATTTTGTGAATGGTGACAAAAGTAGACTTTGGTGCTCAAAGGGTTAATGATATGCAAATTACCTAATTAATATGCACATACCCTATATAAAACTATTTTGTGAATAGTGACAAAAGTTGACTTTGGTGCTCAAAGTGTTAATGATATGCAAAATACCTAATATGCACATATGGTATATAGAACTATTTTGTGAATGGTGACAAAAGTTGACTGGAGCTCAAAGGGTTAATTATATGCAAATTACCTAATTAATATGCACATACAGTATATATAACTATTTTGTGAATATGACAAAACTTGACTTTGGTGCTCAAAGGGTTAATGATATGTAAATTACCTAATTAATATGCACATATGGTATATAGAACTATTTTGTGAATAGTGACAAAAGTTGACTTTGGTGCTCAAAGGGTTAATGATATGCAAATTACCTAATTGTGTCAGTGGTTTGGAATTTTTATAATATTCAATTAGTAAAATGAGTACACAATACCTTTACTTAGAAAAGCTTCTAAGAATTTCTGCCATGTTGGAAAGACTGTGGTATTAACTGGTCTTGCATTTTTCTCGAGTACATCTGGAATTTCAGCATGAATCCTGATAAAAGCGGCTTCCTGAAAGTGAGGTCAATTTGAGGTCAAGATTAGAGTATTTAGCAGTTTTAATAAGCTAGAATGAAAGTTTAAAATGTGCCACATTACCAGCATCTATGTTGTATGTCAAAAATCACCATTCATTCAGCCATTGCCTCACTACTCTCCATGTACATGTATTAAATGCTAATTCCACTCATCAATGCAGTTTGACAACCACACAATGTGTTCTCAGTAACAAGTCAAGTACTGTTTGCATGGGATCTCCCTCAAACACAACTTGGAGTAACAAATATTTTATTTTTTCTCATATAGTCCCATGTGTTAACTCCGTAATCATTTTTACACAAGCACATGCTTCTAATAGAACAGATACGACGTACTGGATAACTAATATAAATTAAACTATAAAATAGTTTACCTGTGCCCATTTCTTGCTCCATTTCTCGCCATACCTCTGTTCTTCTTTCTTTGCCCATGTATAAGCTCTCAGGTGTGTCGTGACATCACAGTACGCAATCCCCCTACCATCAAATTCATCATCTAATTTAAATAACCACCGTTTAACGTCCAAGTTCTCAGTTACTAGTTGTGCTAAACATTCGTGTAACTATTCAAAAAAAAAAGAAAAACAGTAAGCTCCCACAAGAGAAGTTTTAACGAAAAGTTTTGATTATAAAAAAAAGAAAGTAAATTATTATTTGAACACTTGGTGGCGCTATATTTGACCTACCTGAGGTAAACTATACACATCATATTCACTGGGAGGCACTTCAATTTTAGCACTGTTGAAAACTCTTTTACACCCAGACTTTGTACTATACAACTGAGCTACGTCCGGCTCTGAACCTAATACTGGTATGTCTGTAGAGAACAATAAATCAATAAAAGGAAAATCAACAAAGGACAAAACATACAGAATAACCAATTCTTTTCTCAGATTTTCTGTAATTGTGGTTACGGAATACGGGTGCCATATTCAATATTTGTAAAATACACTGACTGAAGTAAATGTCAGTTTTCACACCTTGTTGATCAAAACATATAAAAACATGTGTTTGTACCACAGCACAGCATGGTAGCGTATGCACTATAAACAATGACTCTTTGCACATCTTGACATTCTCTGTAATTTCACTTCATTTCAATGTTAACTTTGAACCAATAACAGACATAATTTGATACTTCTTTCATACACTGATCAAATATTTCAAACTTTGATTAACTTTCATAGAAAGAAACAAATTAGGAACAAGACTATATTTTGAAAAAAATGCCAGTGAAAAAGGTAATAACAAGTGAATAACAATATTTGGGTGATTCCACTACAGAGAGGGGTGGATGCATAAGATAACTTACCTAATTCATGTGCTACAGCTAGATCGTCTTTATGCATGACACCAGGGACTAAGTAAGCTTCTCGTCCTTTGATTAAGTTTTTAATTCTATTGAGAGCCTTGGGACTATATTTTAGATGTGTTGCTAGGCACATGGAGTGACTCTGTGGAACAATGAATGGATTGATATCAAAGTCATAAAAGGTGATTTGACACTTTAGAAACACACGACAAAGAAGATGAAACAACATTTGTAATGCCGTCAATATACAGTTGTCTACTTTTGCAGTGGTAAATATAGACTAGCCCAGCCATGTAATGTTATAATTTTTTTTTCCTTAGATCGTGGTTTGATGTGATATTACCATGATTGGTTTACTCTGTGGCGTAATCACTTCTATTAATTAATCATGATATGCAGTGACATTATGGGACCCAGGAGTGGAACACTTCCAAAAAAAGAAAATAGGTGTGCGCTTGCGCAAAAGATTCTAAACGTGAGGCTACGTGTAAGTTATAGTTACGTAGAACAGATCTGACCAAAAGCTGCCTTTCTTATTGGTTGGCAGCTTACAAGTATTTATCACCACAAAAACTGGGTAACAACTATAGAGGACGTGGCAGAATAGACCAGTCGTGCTAATTTCGTTTGAACATGAAAAATTCTATAAACTCACTAAAGGAATTATATAAAAGAATAGAAGTACCCTGACTGGGCCAGTCTATGGTAAATACTGTATTATTGTCACTGGTATTTAATTTCACTATTTTGAAGTTTTTAAGGTCACTGGGTTTCAAGTTCATGAACTTGGCAGGGAAACAAAGAGTTCTGTTGTTATTTACGTGTTTACGTAGATTTAATTCAGCAAATTTTACTCAAATTAAACCCAAGATGGCGTCCACCCAAGACAAGACCCAAGACATTCCATTAAACATAAATCTTATGGCAGTAAGTGTTTTTAAACTTCTAGCTTGATTTAGAAATGAAGAGAGCTTCCTGCATTGATACTAAATATTAATTAAAATTACTGAATAACTTACTGGAAATCTATTGGAAGCCTCTGGTACAATAATTTTATATCTGTCTGTGACATCAGACTGGTCTTCCACATTGCCCGATGAGACAGCTGACCTTAAACCCAATAATTTAGAATAGTACTGTAGAGTTTCATCGTTCACTTCAACTGGACATATATAAATTACTTCAACGTTTGGATCTGAAGAACAAAGAGATTACAGTATTGTAATAATAACAAGAATGCTATCAGAGACGGCTGATGTACCCTAGCTGTGGATCAGCCATCCTTATCAAATCATGTAAGAAATGCATGTGTACATGTATGTTTATAATATAATGTGTTATATATGTGTAAAGGTATATAACAAAATCTGTTCAGACGGGCCCAAGGTACGGGCAAGAAAATTCATTTTTAAAAAACAATAATGACCACCAGTCAGCCATTTTGAATCAAATTAAAAATCATCAATGTTTGCATGGTCTACCGGTAATCCTGTTGCAATGTTTGTATGGTCTACCGGTAATCCTGTTGCAATGTTTGCACGGTCTACCGGTAATCCTGTTGCAATGTTTGTACGGTCTACCGGTAATCCTGTTGCAATGTTTGTACGATCTAACGGTAATCCTGTTGCAATGTTTGCACGGTCTACCGGTAATCCTGTTGCAATGTTTGCACGGTCTACCGGTAATCCTGTTGCAATGTTTGCACGGTCTACCGGTAATCCTGTTGCAATGTTTGCATGGTCTACCAGTAATCCTATTGCAATGTTTGCACAGTCTACCGGTAATCATGTTGCAATGTTTGCACGGTCTACCGGTAATCCTGTTGCAATGTTTGCACGGTCTACTGGTAATCCTGTTGCAATGTTTGTACGGTCTATCGGTAATCCTGTTGCAATGTTTGCACGGTCTACCGGTAATCCTGTTGCAATGTTTGCACGGTCTACCGGTAATCCTGTTGCAATGTTTGTATGGTCTACCGGTAATCCTGTTGCAATGTTTGCACGGTCTACCGGTAATCCTGTTGCAATGTTTGCACGGTCTACCGGTAATCCTGTTGCAATGTTTGCACGGTCTACCGGTAATCCTGTTGCAATGTTTGCACGGTCTACCGGTAATCCTGTTGCAATGTTTGTACGGTCTACTGGTAATCCTGTTGCAATGTTTGTACAAATTCCATACATTGATAGTGTCCCAAATAACAGAATGGCAAAAATGGTACATTTTGATAAGCAATAATAATTACCTGATATGTCACATATCCTCGCCATTTGTAAATTTTGTCTAATATTCATATCTTTAACAGTGTCTCGTATTTTTTGTGAGTAACCAAGGGATGGAAGATGAATAAGTACTCTCCTAGATTGCTGGATGCGACTCCAATTAGTCTTGAATTTCTACAATGAATCAGAATATGGTAAAGTCAATGACCTACAACAATAGATGACAATGGAGTAGTTGATGTGCCAGACCCGTAACAAATACAGTGTAACAGTAGGTCCTGTGTTGGACCTACCTGTGGCTGAACACCAAAAAGGAGTTGATACTTATACCATGGAAACTAGAGGATGTTTCAGTGGAGTGGCCAAAGCCACATTCAATATTGTAGATGCGAGGTTGGAAGAATCTGTGTCTGGTTGATGGTTGCTAGTAGTGGACCACGCCTAGTTGTCTATATATAACCAGGCTTGTCAAATAAAATCAGTGCTTTAACAAAGATTACACCAAAATCTTAACCAGTTGTTTTAAGCTCCTGGAACTAAGCTTTACGAGGTTGTTATGGAAACCTAACAGTAAAATAAAAAAACAATTCCTACCTTGGCTCTTTCTCTAAATTCATCTAAATACATTTGCCTAGTGGTTCGTAATTGTTTTCTAATTTTAGACAGTTTGACGTTCATAATCCACGATATTGCTATTACACCTGCCGCCCACTTCTTCCGCCTATACTCCAGGTAAGCCATTCGGTCCTTGTATCGCCTCCATGTTGCTTGTATCTTAGTTGCTGCCACATGTTCACCATCGGGACCCAAGAACCGCCTTCCTGGTCTTTTGATTATTGCTAAAACATCATCTATGTTTATTATTACACTCAGCAAGTCTTTTATAGTAGGCTGCTTTTCAAGTTCAAATTCTAAAGACAAATCTGCAAGTCTGATAAGGAAAAACAAGCCAATAGTACTTTACATATTTGGCAATAAACAAAATGACACACATGAGTACGTATAGGGTTTAACGTTCAGTTCAAAGCAATTTCAATTTTGAAAAACGTGTCATATTGCACCAGTTGTCGACTAAGTTGTTAAAGTGGGTCACCTGCACATGCGTCAGATGACCATAGCATGCGTCTACCCTTTGAGTTTTGTGACTCAATTCCTGCATGTGCACAGATGACCACCCTCCTGCTTTAGCAGTTCACATTAAGTAAATCTTGTCATGCAATGCTGTTCAAATTCTGCTTGCTAAACAAAACTAACCTAGGAAATATGCAATGAACGATGAACAATCAGACACAGTAGTAACATGTGTAAAATACTTGTCCTATAAATTCAAAATGGAGCAATCTAATGGCTTTACAGAAAATAATGAACTCGCAGGTCTATTGTAATTATTATCACGCAAATATTAATAGGAAATATTTCACATCAAATTTTAATTCTGAAATATGATAATTTTTTTGATCATTGAACAGAAAATATCAAATGCAATTCAGTATTAAACTTAATATGCTATTCCTAAGATCTTGAGAACTCAATCACGATACAAATCTGCTGAAATTCCAATAAACATTGGTCAAAGCATACCGGTACATGTATGTCAGGAAAAATGATGATAAATGGGCCAAAACCATAATCCAATTTCAGACAGGGACAATACTACAAAAGATAAACTTACTTGTCGCCATTAATGAAAGCCAATGGTATTGCATAATTTTGTAGCATCCTTTCCATGTATTGTAACATTGTGACGATACTACCCCAAGATAGACAATAATGTTGCTTGAAAGCCATAAAGTCTTGTGACTGTTCACGGATTTTACCATGTTGGATTGGAAACCGATGACTGAGGTGTTTGAATTCACTAGCTGGAGTTGTAGGTGGGGGCTGTAAAAATGAACATAATTCAAAAATGTTAACACAACAAATTTTTTGTTGTTATAATAACTGCAAACAAAAAAGTGCTTTGACCAATATGCTAGGCAGGTGAGTTTCACGGGCATCAATAAAAGTCACTGATTGATGGAGCTTGCTTCTTGTGCTATGTAAAAACATGCTATGTGTACCAGTGAATGTGTGCATCTAACTGCTCTACATGCATGGTGATGATTTCACTCAACTGAGCAGAGCGGAGCGGAGCGGAGCGGAGCGGAACAGAGCGGAACAGAATAGCTGTTAATGTTGTTAGTGATAATGACTATTCTCTCTATTGGTTAATAGGATGTTGAGTCATTACTAACAGGATTAATAATGAGAAGATATGATTGTGAATGCCAAGGTTTTTTTTTTATACAGTGGTGACATGCAAGATATTAACTGTCAATCAAAGTGTCAATGTGAGCCTAGCATAACATCAAAGACTGCTACCGAGTACTGTAATATGACTAATTTTCACTGGGTTCAAATTTCGCTGATTTACCATTTCAGGCATATAAAGTGGGTTTTATCATTTAGATAATGTGTTCTATGCTAAATTTTACATATTTACTGGGTTTTAATTTAGCACATTCTGCAGTCAGCGAAATGAGCAAAATTAAAACCCAGTGAATAATTAATCCTTTTACAGTACTATTCCACTGCGTTCAATCTTTTGAGAGACAAAGTCAACTTTTGTTAACATTCACAAAATTAAATCCACATCATTTTTTTCATATTATTTTCCATATTTTTATCAAGAGATGTAGCCAACAGGAAATTATGTCTATTTTGTCCAAATTTATCAACAAAATACATATAAATCTGAAAAATGTTGCACCAAAATATTGGCAGGAAAATTAGGCCAAAAAAAAAAATTGTTTTGTTGCCCTCAGCGACCAACCGAAAAATATGAAATATTGGGTCGCGTTTTTTTTTTTTAATAGGCCCAAATATTAAAAACTCACCATTTTAAGCAGTAAAAAAATTGTTTCCTCTAAAAATTAAGGATCCCGGACCATTGTTTGATCCCAAGAGTCCCCGTAAATGGCGACTTTGAACCTTGGGTTGATCTGTATTTCTCTGACATGTTCCGAATACTATGAAGTCCATATACCTTGGCTATTTACGATACTCTTAATTTTCACGAATTTAAAAAACTTGAAGGCAACATAAGTTTTTTATTTTTTTGGCCTTTTGGTGGTCAAAGAGCAATGCAGTGAATAAAAAACACAGTTTTTTTGGGTGCATGCATGAAGGTTTTCGCTATATATTCAGGCATTCCATAATGATGGCTCAATTTTCAAATACTGTAAAATACTTAATCCTTAGCTGGAATAAATTTTTGCTGAAAGGGCATTTTTGCTGTTTTGTATGAATGACATTTATTTTCACTGAATTTTGATGAGTGGAATGTAAAACATAGAAAAAAAAATTTAAAGTATTTTAACGGGAATATATTTCCGCTGATTCATCTCTTCAGCGAAAATAAATTCTAAGTGAAACTATTAGTTTAAATTTGTTGGTGGAACAATTAAATCAGATATTAAAAATTAACAAAATGTAGAATAACAGCGTAGCAATTCATCCATCTTAATATTAAGATAATCTATTAATTTTAAAGCTGAGTTATAATTGTTGGCTGACTCCAGTTATTCCTTTGTGGACCAAAAGTTGTCGACCAGTATGGAAAATATAATGTCCATTCATCACTGACATCTGTCAGTCAACGCTGTTGAGTGATTTTCATTGTTCATGTAATGTTATTTCAAGACAGGAATAGTCAGAAGTAACAAACAGCAGGTGGATTCCCAAGTTGTGTGCATGTGTAACACTGGGATTTCTATAGTTTCCCATATAGAATGTGTAATCTAGTGTAGTATTGGTATACCTTTCAATGTCAAAGTCAACCTTTGCTGCCTTTCACAAAATTAACCCAATTTTTTTCTTTATATTTGTTCAAAAACGTTTGATCAATGCCTGTAGTCAATGGGAACTATGTTCATTGGGTTCAAATTTAACCAAAAAAAATATTAAAAAAAACCATAAAAAAATGCAAACTGATGAATCAGAATTTTCAATGTGAAAAATTAGGGTTTGCATTCATTAGACTTACCAATTCAATTACATGTAAAGAATGCTAAGTGTATTTTAACAAAAGGAAATGACAATGGTGTATTGTTATTACTGTAGTATTAAAAGGTTATTAATAAAGTCAACAGACAATGACACGGCATACAATGTATGAACCCAATTCAAAGTCATAGACAATGATAAGCCTGAATTAATAACGTATTAAATGTACATAAATAACGTATTAATTCAGTGAACACTATAAAAACCACAGAAACAGATGGTAGCTGAAAAGATATATTAGAGACAGGCTGAACAAAACATAAACACGGCAACAGTGTATTCTTTTCAAGACCATTAAGTATTCATGTTTGCATGATCAAACATTTTCTCAATTAGTTTCAGCTTTCAGTCTGCTAATGTAGGCTGGTCAAAATGCTTGTATTACATTTCAGTTTGTTTGACAGATATCAAAATGCTAGCTCTTTCTTCCAATATATGTCACCTGATCAGTTATTAATTTGCATATAGTATTGGGTGGCTACATGGCTAATGCACTTTTAACATTTTGGGAAGCAATTTTCTATTTATTTGAAACTTAGAAGATAAAACTTTAAGTACCTGAACTTATTTTCTAATTATTGAACCTCAGTTGTGTCAACTTGTATGCATTATTATTTTACCCAATTTTCAATCCAAAATGGCCATCAGCATAACATTATGGGAAAATCATAAAATTAGTATTTTCAAAGTAAACAAGTTTTATTTGATGATCAAGAATTTGTAATGCTTTTAAAATTTCCACATTGTTGATAAGTTAACTACGTCCATCCTTAAATGCGAATTTTGAACAGCGGACAAAAAGAACAAACAAGAGAACAAAAAGAAGCTGCTTGTTTATTTTAGAGTTGAGCTGATGCCATATTATTGCTCAGAATGCAGTGCCAAAAGCATGCATGGAACTTAAGTGGAAACATGATTCAGAACTTAGGCAACCTGGAATAAACTTGATGACTAGAAATCACTTATTATTTGTTTTTCTTAAAGGGTGGTAGTTGTTGCGCCATGCATGCACAAGACATATGGGGCTTCATATACCGGTAAACAAAGATGGCGACTTCGAATGCGCAGCGCGGCGACTATCGCCCTTTAAAAACTATATAAGTTTCTTGGTCATTTTTATTTATTGGTTTAGATAAATATCTATCATAACATATATACATGTATATATTTAATAAAATGAATATTGCTTCCCAGAAATTGAAATAATTTCCACTATATGAAACATTATATAAACTCACCAGCGGTTGTAATGCTCCATCAAGTGGTTTAATAGGTACCATGCTTTTACTGGATTTGGCAGATGATACCATTCTGGAATGCGAGGGACCATGGCCCCATGTGCTATCAACTTCTCGCTCAGATGCTTTACCGGCAGATTTTGATCTGGATGACATAGACATGGAATCTGTAGACTTATTATAAAGTAAGTCCATCTTAACAAAATTGAAATTACCATCTGTGTTAAAAAAAAAAAAAAATATTTGTTTTAAATCATTAAATTTGCTGCTGTTACAGAGCTTTTTTTCTATTCTATTCTTGTCTAGTGTAAGTAGTATGTAAGATTAACAAGAAGACTGAAGAGTCACAGATCAGTGACACGTACATGTATTCTATTTGCTCTAATAGAAGTATGGTATTTGTTGTATTTAGAATCATTAAAACATTACTGATATTTAAAGTGGGGGAGTCGTCACCTACGCATGTGTCAGATGGCCATATCGTGTCATTGTTTACAAACAAGCATCTACCCATGAGTCTTTGCATTTTTAGCGTGTGTTGTTATCAGCGATTGGGACTCAATTCCTGTGTGTGGGCAGGTGACGATCCTCCCGCTTTAATTTCACCATGAAAATGCTTCTGTAATTTATATAAGCGCATGCGATACTGTTATAATCTTTATGGACTGGTTACGAATTTCGCAGCCCAAGGTATGCTGTACGACCAAGGGCAGCAAAAGCCATGTCCAGATTTCATCATATTCCTTATAGGTGTAATTACAATTTTACCACGGTGTGACCTCAAACACATGTCGTAATTTAGAATGACGTGATGTGAGGGTGCACTTGCCATAGCGATATGAGGCCGGGAAATATTGGAATATAGGTTCTGTTCCACATTATGGGTCACTACATCAAGTGTAAAATATAACGATTGTTTATATTACAAGACATTCGGACACCTACAACATCAACATGATGAGTAGATCGCTTTACAAATTTCACACCAACTGCAGTGAAGGTGTACTCATTATTGGATATTCATTTAACAAACAATCACAGTATAAGCGTGGGAAACAATATACTGACCGCCAACACCAGCTACAGGTACTTTAGGTTCTTTTTTTTCAATAGGATCTCGTAACTCCACCATCTTATGCCTGACGGGTGAAGGATCTAACGTCAGTTCAGCTGCTGGAGGAATTAGTCCCCTTTCTAATAAACTTAAAATTCCTTTCTTGGCATCTTTTTCTGTTATTGCTGGTGGAATAATCTGATAAGAGAGAAAATAGAAGAGTGCATAATGTATATGATGCTAGTATTGGGATATTTCTATGCTTAGGAACCATGCCACATACACTGCCATAAACAATATGACGTATTCATGTATATTAATATTATTTTTCATGAAGATATATCATATAAATTATAATATCATGTCATTTTTGTTGTTTTGTATTATAGTCATTCCCTTTTTCTTCTTCTTTTGATTATGTTTTTGTACACTGTATCTATTATCATTTATTCAAATAGACTTCTAGAGATTAATAAATATATTACCGATATATCTTATTACACACATACAAAAATGTATATGTATCAATATAGTGACGAAATACAAGACAAATGACAACCAAACGTGGTTTCTATATGAAAACTACAGGGGGGTATGAAGTATTATAATACATATGATCCATTATGGCCAGCTCATTGATTTATTGTAAAACACCAAATACACGGCAAAGTAAATACTATATAAAATCTAAGTAAACATGTACTGCGTGCCTGACTCACAACCAATGCTTGTGTACGACACCAAATTGTCTAGCTTTTGTGTCATGACATAGCACAGCACAACATGTCTTCTCTTTAGCCACTTAGATAAAAGATGCCTAATAACCAAGCTTATTATGAGAAACCCATTCACATCACACTGCGTAAAAATGATAAATACTCAATTTTTCAAAAAATCGGATGAAATGACAACATTTTCTGGTTAATTGGAGCAACTATCACAAATTATTACCCAGTACCTTGATGCAGTCAAAATAGAAGAAAATATTGTAGATATTATATATCGATTACTTCACTTGAAAGAGGTGACTTACCGATGGATCAACACGATTGGCTCTGGGTAGGACAGCTAGGTGTTCCACTGTGTTGCCCATAATTACTTTCTGTGGTGTTTTATGCTTTCGTTTATCTACTATAAGTGGTAATGAGACGCCGTACGTATCACTAAGTACTTGTCTATTATACTGGTTTGTGGGATCATGGATGGCCCGCATATTCCATGCATATTTAGACTACAGACAAAGAAATATTCAAAAGTACATGTATGGAATATACTAAAAATACACTGAGAAAGTGGGTTACCATAACCCTTTCACTAATTGGACCAGGGATGGAAACATTTTTTATAAAAATAAAATGATATTTTTTAGGTGGCTGAATCCCATTTAAGTTTTAGTCAGTGATATTACGATTTCAACAAGAAAATTTAAAACATTGGAACAAAAACATAGACAGAATCAAAAGTGTAACTAGATTTAATACAGCATCCATAAAGTGTGATCAATCCATCAGTAGGTTGAATTGCTGAGAAAAACACAAAATTATCTTTTTTTTTTAATACAGAAATTAGGTGATCCAACTAATAGAAAGATTAAGGTAATTCAATTTTTAATTTTGAAAATCGTAAGATTCAGAAACAAGCTTTACATGACTGGGAGGTTTTTAGCACATTTTAAAATTCCATCAAAATCAAAATTCAAATTCTAAAGATTTTTTTTTAAATTCTGGACAAAATGAATATAATTCCTAATAGCTAGACGTCTTAATTAAATTGTTTGAAAGATATGGCAATATTACTATACACCAACTAAAACATTATTAACACATAGATATCCTGTCGAAGAAAAATAGACCATTTTCCGTTCACTGCGAGAATCATGCGTTATGCGTGAAATCAAACGTAAAAACAGGACAAACAAAGGTCATAGTGTTGTAGTGGCGTCAAACATCGCGTAGGATTCGACAAACGCGAAAGTATTTGGGGGGACAATATGATATTTCTATGCTTAATAATGTGCTGTTCACATTTGATGATAGGCAATTTCGATTAAGTAAGGGTATTTAGAAGCAATATTCCTCTGCCGAAGATCGTCCAGTTGATGTGAGCTACGAAATAAAGAAATTCAAGTTCAAAATCAAATCGTTCAATTTTTGAGGCAGATGTTTAACGCGTGTCTTTCATGCAACTCGCGAGATCTCGCAATTGTACGAAAAATCACCTATTACGCAAAAGAAAACAATGTAGATTGTTAGGCACCTCAGACAGCTAGAAAAAACTTCACAGTTTACTATATACACTTGCAATGAGGATTGAAACAAATATAAATACTGTTTTATACCTGTTGCCCTGGAGATGGACCTTGCATATTTTGTAAAGGTTCCATTTTGGTGAGTCTGGGAACAGGTTTTTTATCAAAATCTCTGAAACAAAAAAGAAAAACACAATTATTAAGATAATCTTAACAAGACTACAAAGAAGAAAAACTGTTAAAGTGAATATTAAATTTGTATTGATAGTAAAATTTAATTGGAAGCCCTTACAATTTTGAGTAACTTGGCAAAAAATAAAATATGAAAGTTATGATGTTCCACTACCAGTACTTATACTGATCAACCCTGACATATTGTACTATTTATCAACTAAGTTATTATTTGTCTTCACTACAATAAATCAGTGCACTGCTGTTTGAAATCTGCTTTGAGAACACGCTTAACCACAACTAACCTAGCAAGTACGTAATGTTTGATATTCAATGTTGCCCCAGTCAAAAGGTAACATGAATAATATAGTCGTTTTTTTAGATTTCAAAATGAAGGGATCTAATGGCTATACAGAAAACAATCTACGAGTTTGGCGTGCATCTTGGACTAACGCTTCACATCATTGATTTTGTAATAGAGTTCATCTTCAACTGACAAACAGAGAAACTTGAGTGTAAATTTGGTGACTTGATGACATCAAAACTACATAACTCCTCAGTGATGTTTGGCTATTGACCAGATGATTACAATTAATCCTTTCACCACCGCCTTTTATCCCAAATTTGACTGCACTATTTTCTTGTATGCTTCAATATTTCTGGAAACGAACCATAATTTTGGAGCCAACAGGTAGAGCTGAGTAAATTTTAAGTTTTTCTATTTTAGGACTATTTTGTGAATTTGTGATGAAAAGAGAGAACTGATGATGAAAAGGTTAAATGAATTAGCTGATTGGACTCAGGTTTTAAAATTGAAATATTGATAATATTAATTATTATGTGACAGAATTAATTTACCTTATTCGCAAACATCTGCCAAAATTTAACTCACCTCTCTGCTAAACCTAGTGTGTGTCTCCGCGAATAGCTTTTCTCTAATTTTTGTCCAGTTTGAAGATCATATAAAGCTTCCCTGAAAAATGAAATAACAATATTTACTGATGGGAGTCAATACAAATTAGAATATAATAAAATTTATTGAAAAATCATACCACTGATGAGTGATATATTGCAATACTTTCAAAACATCTAAACTTGTCAAAAAAAAGTTGCAGGTCAAGTGTTCAAATTGTGCTTTCCAGTTTGAATTTAGCTGCACAATTAATTGATTTTTCTAAAATTCTGACAAAAAGCTAAAAAAAAAATCAGTGATGTGCACACTTTTAACTGCATCATGCATGACCAGCATCGTGAATATTTTTTGCTTGACCCTACAGATATACACGTCATGTATCACCCATACATCACCCATCACTAATGCCCAGACAAGACAGATAACAATGCTAGCGACAGCTCCCCACACAAAAGAGTAATGGTATTCTACTTACTGGGTACCAAGATGTCCGGGATGTCTTTGTCCGGCGAGATCTAAAGCAGGTAAGGTCATAACTTGATTGTTAGCTGAATGTAGCACATTTTCAGTTTGGCCCTGACAATAAAACAAAACAAAATACGATTGAGGTAAATAAACAAAAAAGAACAATGCATTTATATGCTTTCTAAATCTTCATAAATTAAGGCAGTAAATCAATGAAAGCAGACAATAAAGTGCATCATAGCATGGTATTATTGGAAACCATAAATTAATTTGACTACTCTCAATAATAGCTGTGAATCCATTGGATGCAGTCCACTTGGTGATAAACCACACTATAAATATCGAACATAAGAAAACTACACACAAGGACATCACTGTTTTTTCTCAGTTCGTGTTTGGTACAATATACAACTATAATAGCAAATAGGTTAACAAAGTTAGTACATTATTAGTAAGAAGAATCTAAACTTTGAGACTACTGGTATTAACAGAAACATTCTATAAAAAAACAACAACAAGCATTTTCCAGTTAATAAAACTATAATGTTTTGTGAGTCAACTTACAACACTTTTCATAATATAAATATTGCTTCGATGCCCATGAAATTGAAGCACCAATGAATCTCCCTATATTATTTTCTTTTGTACATATTGGTATATGTGAAAACAATTTTACTAAACTTTGCATTGAATTTCATGACCTGTTTTTAGACTTATAATAATGACCAATAGAAAATTGCTGTAAAATATTCAATTTTAGCTGGAATTAGTTTTTCACTGAGCCATCCCTTCATCCTTAAATGTAGTAGCCAAAATTTGGCAGAAAAAAATCATGTATTCAAATGGTTATTCTTCCTCTGAAAAATGTTGTGGCTGTAGTCCAGGACATGATGAATAATTATTTACAAACCTTTTTAACTGGGTAGGGCCTGAATAACTCACCTGAACACCTTCCTGTGTTCTCTGTATGGCATTTTCGAGCGCACGGATATCTAGAATTTCTCTAGCGCCCTCAGACAAACTTTTCTGAATAAGGTGCTCCTTCAGCTGTTGCAAATCTTCTTGAACCTTGAAAAACAACAACCTTTATTGTAACTTTAAAATACTGCAAAACATTCACAACTGCAATACTTCAGGGAAATATTAGCAAAAATGTTAATAAAAAAAAAGCATTATTTTTTTCCTCTGAAATTATATACAAAATACTGGTAGTACTTCTATGAGTTCTCCATTACCTAAAATGTTAGATAACACAAGTCATAAGAGTTATTAGTTTAATAGTAGTAATTTACACACCTAAGCAATACAAAAGAAGTTGGTCGATGTTAAAAGGTTGTTGGGTGCATGGCAGCCACCCCCAGTGTATAAGAACAAATTTGTCAGAATTTTAAAAGTTCTATAATACATCTGTACACAGTGTACATGTACATGGTGGATGATAGTCCATTGTAGTTTTGTCATGAAAACTAATTATTATATACAACAGTGAAACAAGCCAGCAATTATTACGGTAACCAGTAATTTCATTTAGTTGGGAAACTAAATATACGCCTAATTAAAGCCTTACATGTCAATATTAATATACTGTTACTATGGTAACTACCGGGTATGCCATAATAAGAATGTGTGTATAATGGTGGGAGGTAGAGCCCATGGACTGCTATTTTCAGGGAACATAAATGTTGCCTAAAAATAATAGACAACAACAAAGTGTTGTGAACCGAAAAAACATGTACCGGTAAATCGGTATCGGTACCGGTAAAAGTTTGAGAGTACAGTTATACATGTAAGCCTCACTCTGTTATACTACCGGTAGTATGCTCTACATCTTGTATGTATTTTACTAAAATATTTTTTTTGTTTATATCGTGTTGTGGACAACGTAAAAGTACTACATTGTATTTTAATTCTGCCTCAAACGAGATTGTTTTCCTTATTAAATTTTGTGCATACAGTCTGATCTTATAAACATTTGTACATATTCTGTGCTTGAACAACTTTGAGAGGAAAACACAGATTCTCGAGTTGAGTTATAAGTATTAATGGTCTTCGAGAAAAGATAAAATCAAGAAGAAGTTCCTAAAATTCTATATAGCGAACACCCACCACAAAACGAGATATGGAAATGATGAGCAAAATTTGTCCTAATCATCAGAATTTTCTCCAGTAGTGGTGTTGAAATACATATACCATTATATTGATAAAAATAAAGTGTAAACAAAAAGTTATGGATACATCTGTAATTGAAAAGATTCCCCCTGCTTTTCAAATGGCCACCCCTCAATCTGTTTGACAAATTTTTTACTCAACAAAATGTTGCCAACCACTTATCCAACCTCACTACAGACTAGCTGCTGATAAATTAAGGATGTTGAAACTGAGTACATGTACACACATGATGTTACTACCAGATAGTCGAGTATTCAAAGTAACAAGGTAAGGTATGGTACAAGTAAAGCCAGGAAAACAGAATAAAATAAAATAGAATCATGGTAAAGAAAATATATTTTTGGTTATAAATAAAATGTGTTTTGTTGAGCAAACAAACAGGTTATTGTTCAGCTATACTTTACTTCGTGGGCTGCACGGGAACCCAAAAATTGAGAAACAACTATTTTTATTTGTTCATTTTCTATGAATGTATTTCAGAGCTGTCAACACAAAGGCATAGTAGTTAACCATCAATATTTGCTGTGTTCTTAAAAGTGTTATTTAAGTGTTAGCATTTGAACATTTTCTTTTTCAATTACCGATAGTAAAGAAAATTAATATTCAGCTTGTACATGTACATGTATATCTAAAATGCTCCAGGACACAGTGCTTCTAAGCTATAAATATACTACAATAGTAGATTGGTTAAGTGAAGCTACCGATAATGATATGAGTGGCCAACAATAAATCAAATGCACCTTATTTCATGAACGTCAAAACTGTTTACATAACATCAGCGTCTAAACTTTAGATAGATAAGGCAGATTTCACTGAAAGACAAACAGTTGCTCGGAGTGTAAACAACTACAGTTGACAGAATGCACCACCAACATTTGGACAATATCACCTTTCTCGATAATTGATTTTCTCTTAGTAAATTAATTCTACAATAATGGGAATAACGTTACTTTTGGGATCTACAAACCAGTTGTTGTAAAAGTTGGTGGTTGTGCCACGCATACATGAGATATTGGTCTCAGCCTCTCAGGAGCAAAGATGGCAACTTTGACTGTTGTGTGGACCCAGGGTGTGTGGATCAATGAGTACAAACTGAGACAATACAAAGCTCTAACTAGGTAATTTCTTTGGGAAGTAAAAGGTATCGAAGAGTCACCGACGATAATTAGTTCACATAACGCCCTGGTCAAAACTCGTACATGTGATTTCCATTAGAAGAGCGCATTCGATTGTGGGAAACTCAATATTTATCAACACATGCACGACACGACGACCACTGCCCTTCCTAACCTTTATAATGTTTGAACCTAATAAGCAAATACAATCAGCAACTCTGAAACCTGCTGAAAGCATTGATATTTAAATGTTTACCAACTGATCTATGATTTATAAATATTTCTAAAAGAAAATATGTCAGAATGTCAAATTTTAATAATAGCGATATAAATAAATTATTGATTACGTGATAATAATAAAGCGCAGAATCAGAGTGGTTATGTTTTCTAATTTCCTTTGTAGTGTTATTTTAACTCAATTTAGTTTAGAAGTCCTTGGTTCCGAAGTGTATTTAGATGGCAATATATTGCTTAAGATATACCGGTACCACAAATAGAGTAATTCCACATGACAATTACAAATGTAAGTCAATCCTGAAAAACTAAATCGTAGTTAATAAATTAATTCAATTGATTTTGAGTTGATTACTTTAAAGTTTACAGGCAAGGAAATATAATGCTAGGAAATGTCATCAATTTTTAACTGAGAACATTTGTTGACAGTAACCTTTTTAATAATTATATATATATCATTATCATTACAATAACATTCCTCAAGTACAAAATAAAAATGTAGATTTGAAAATGAAAAAAATATGGGTCACTGCACTTATTTCCATGGACATCGTAATTAATTTATATTATAATTAGAGTATTGATCAAAACATGTGGTAGCAGTGGAGAGCACAGTACATGCACTATTTGATGTGGGGATTACTGTCAAGCATCAAATGATTTGCTTTGTCGCATTATTGACTCAAATATATTTAAAATTAGAGAATATTAAATATTTTCTGATTTCTCACAAAGTACTGAGGTGAATTTGAATCCGAAATGTTAAACTTGTGCATAATTTTGAATATGCACATAAATATAATATCTACATTTGGGATTAAAATCGCCAAAGACTCTACTTTTAGTATTTGTTCTTAGGGTAAAACAAGAAAAATATTGCAAGTGGCAATAAAATCCCTGCATTCAGAGTTGCACTCTGGGTGATGTTATGTGTTGACAGTAAAAACAGTTTCTCATTTGATAATTGGTAATATCTGAGACAAAGTTCTACTAAGAAAAATTGGTAACCTTTTTTGGCTATTTCAGAATATATACTTACAAATTTAATACAAATATAATAAATAGCAAAATTGGGGATCATTCTTGGTTGATAAATATATGCCATGGCACATTAGCTATATTAGTTATATTGATTTATTTTCATGTTTACTTTAAAGCAGAGGGGTCGTCACCTGCGCACATGCGGGAATTGAGTCCCAAGCGACGATAACAACACACGCTACAAACGCAAAGGCTCTGGGGGAAACATGCGTAGGTGACAACTCCCCCGCTTTAATGATGTTTATTCATTAAAACTTTAATAACACCTGTCCCTCGCATAGCAACTAGTAAATAAGATTATCAAGCAAGCATGCAGCCAATATGCTAGTAAACATTATTCATTTAGACATGATTCCAGTAAGAACCAAGCAATTCAACAATAACAAGGTAACTATGATATGTCATATGCAGTGTAAACATTAAACCATGGGTCAAAAAAAATCAATTCGGAGTTTCTAAAAAGTTGAATTAGTATTTTATTGAAAGCCAGATTACACATTAACTGTAGCATAGGCACAAATGTGCAGATTGGCATGCATTTCATACCAGTAGTTAGTGACTTATAAAAGCTCAAGTACAATGTCAATGTCAAAATGCTGTTCAGGCGAACAAAAGACTGGTCATGAATGTGAATTGCTTCAATTTTATCAAAGAGACTTTTTCACAAATTTTAAAAAAGAAAACAAATTAATAAAAGTTTTTTTCATTCAGCTTAAAAAAGATATTTTACCTACATGATATAGATATATACTGGGTATACTTATAAGCTTAGCTGTATTGAAATATTTTGGAATGTTAATATGGAGGTAATTTAGAGATAAATTTATAATCAAACTATTACTATTTGATGAAATTACATCAAAATAAACAGATTTGTTCTCAGTTTGACCATTATGCACAGACTGCCTCACTCAAATCATATCAAGTATCAATCAATTTGACTAGAAGCCATTGATGAAACTGTGTTTACTAAATTTGAGTGCATAGAAACTGCTTGACCCTTGGTATAGTGAGGTCACAAGCATGCTCAATTGTAAGTAAAGATATGAAAAACACAACCTAGGTAATGAAGCCAACCCATTGGTGGGCAGTGAAAAAAGACAACTCTTTTGTTACAAACATGTACATGTACATGTATATATGAGTCTTGGTGGAACAAATTAGGAATAAGTTCATTTAAATCACAAAAACATTTGGAACACAAATCGAAGCATTGTAAGGACAATAGTCTCAAAAGACTAAACACCCTCAGGAGTAATTGTTTATCCACTTTGAATAAATAAAAAGTTTTGCTAGGTTAGAAGAAAGGGTATCTTTTTGAAGGCGCTGTATGTGCTTGTTCATTGAAATGTAAACACGCAATGCTCATTATAAACAGAATTCGCACCAATGATGATGTCATGATCGATGATGAGTGATTACAGCAACTAACTGATAGTTATACCCCCGTATGTCCAAATTTCCATTATGCCATTTTTCTTCTGAAATACCTTTATTTCTTACTTTTGCAGCTTTATCGTTCCTCGTCGTGTTGTATTTTGTATGTCTTAGTTATAGTTTTTGTTATGCGTAAGACTATACAATGATACAGGGACTGTGCCAAAATGGTCAAAACAAGTGAAAGTTACAGATTAAACATTTAGCTTATTCTTTCCACTCTGGAACTGGAGGAAGCGATGCTGTAGACAACGAGATCATGATGATAAGAATATTAAATGTGATTGGCTGTGAAATAAAAGTTAAAATGTCAAATGATCCAATTCATATAATCATGTTTTTGTTTGTCGAATGTTGTACATCATCAACAAGCAAACATTGTAGCGCTGCGCAGTTCATGAACGTATCAACGATCGTTTGGAGTGCCTCGTAAAATAGCGGTCGATCACTTATACTATTTCGACCTGCCGGGCTATATTGCGATTGCGACGAGCTATCGTTCTTGTTCAGTAGTCAACTAATGGTTGTAATAGAAAAAGGTACAAAGCAACGGAGGGAAACGTTTATATTAATTAACATGCTTGTGAGACACCTGTCTCTCGAGAGCTCATTCTCGTCAAAAAACTCGCGACTTCCGTTCCAGCTCAATTTTGCTTGGCACGGCACTGTGAACCGAGACGCGACTTCGACTACTCACCTTGACCAAGATTTCCCCAACATCTTCGTGCCTTCGGTCGATCTCCATTCCGGCATACATCATGTAAATATACCACTAGGTGGTTAGGTGAGGGATAAATATGGGACGGAATAATGAAACTCTTGCAAATTCGGGTTATAAAAGTCCAAAAGTCGCCATTGCTTCTCGGTCACGTTCCTCGGCAACCAGACCCAAACACGAATTGACACATGCGCAGTGTCATCTATTACATAAAAACGATATAATCTATGTTATGGTCGCTCGAGGGCGCTGTACACACAAAATGGCCGCTTCTGCCGTCATTGCCAGTTGTTGCTCCGTTGTCGATCCTCGAAACCTAATTAAAGGTATAGTTGCCAGTTTTTGTTTGTTGGTTCATTATAAGAAATGTATTACCTACAATTTATATTAACTATGAATCTCGAATAATGGGTTAAAAATGGGCCACTGAACGTGAAGTGAACTGAAAACGTGGATCAGTACAGTGGACGCTTTGACGCGCACAATGTACAGGAAGTTGACAATCAGATGTTTAATATAGCTCCCGAAGTTTGTACTAGTATTTGAATTATCAGTTGAAAATTGACAGAAAAATCAGATATATACTGAGGTTGGCCTTATAGTGGGCGCAATTTTCCTATCAATTTTCCTTGGAACATCGCAGCATTATTCCTTACTTTAATAGCCATGTTTTGAACGTAGCACTATATTTGATGCAGGTATTTTTTATGCTTGTGTAGAACACCATTTTATTTTTTACTAATATTTCACTCAATCCCTTTGCTTAAAATCTGATTGAAAAAAATTTTCTGCAACATGATTTAGAGGCTCAGAGCATTTAGCTAGTCAACAGTTTGAATATGGATGACAACGTCTCATGATATTCAGCCATATTTACAATCATATTGAAAGATAAACTGGGATTTGAAAAAAAAAAAAAAATATAAAAACATTACTTTCCTTTTTTGACAAAATTATTCGCCCAATTTTGGTCTATGTTAGTGACATCTGGCAGGCTCAACTCAACTACTTGTCTATTGTCTACTCTACTGTCTTTAATCTTTTAGGTGTCTCTAGAAACACGCGTAAAATAGAAATCTATGGTGAATTAGGCAAATATCTTTTGGATGTCTCACAGTCCCTCTATCATATATGATAAAACAAATGATTAAATATTACCGTGTCTAAATGAAGCAGGTCGCCTAAATAGATGGATAAATAAAAATAGTATAAAGAAGTACAATCACATCTAACACAATTCAAATTAATCTTACTAAAATTATTACCACCCATAAAACAAATCGCAAATACGCGAGTAAAACATTGAATAAAAATTCTGAAAAATCATTCATAAAACATTGGGAAAATGTGTAATAAAAAAAAAGACCAATAAATGCCTCAAATTACTAAGAATATTAAAAAAACAAAAAGATTTTAATTGGGAGATTATTTATTGCATGAACAACTATGTATATTTTAAATAAGTAACCACTGTCTAATGATATAGACTGGACATTTCCCAGAAAATGAAATTGAAGACGATGTCCATTTCTTGAAATCATGCTCATTCAACAATTAACAAAGATGTTTTTTGTTTGAAGAAACAACCAAATATACTTATCCATTTCACCAACATGCCAGATGATAAAACATTCAAAATTTTGATGAACACAAACTGTTTAGTCATTCCAGTAGCCATATGGCTTCAGTACCAGACAGCAATCGTGACCAATATACACAAGTATATCTAGTATTACTCTATAATAACTTCCTTTTCATTTCCCTCAGCTTTGCAATATATGTAAACTTCTCTTATTTTCCCTTTTTTTTGTGTGACCTTACTGCTGTTCTTTCCCAAGTCAAGATTTTGTCAATAAATATTTTTACCGATAGTATCTCAATATAACAGGTGGGTTATGTGGCAAAAACCAAAAATTGGAAAAACAAAACAAAATGTATATTTTTTTATAATTTTTACCACCCAAGCACCCCTGGTGACAAATTATGGTTGTTTCCAGGGGTGTAGTCTATTAGGCTTGAAAGCGTTAAAATCAAAATGATCTAAAGAATATTTCAACGGAACTTAATTGGGAGTTAGCGGTTTTCATGATCTGTTTATTTTGGTGCTCATTGTAAATCTTCTCATTTGTTTATTTTTATTTACCCAGACATTCTTGGTTTAAGCAGTTTACCAAGTTACCAAACACGAATTGAAAACATAGAAGCTTATCCATGGACCATCAGTAATAAATATTACACAGCAGATGTTGAATTATGTTATCCACCTCGGAAGACACTCGGCAACGAAGAATTTGCAGACTCTGTTCAAGCAGTTGTCATAGCGTTTGAAAACAAGGTATATATCATATCAAATCTGAATAAAAGTATGAACATGTAACTATGGTGACATGTGATGAAAATCTCATTGATCACAAAAAAATCATAAGACAAACACAAATTTCTATTATAGTAAATTTCTATTATTTCCATGTTTCTAAGTATTAATGCACATGAGTGCATGTGTCAGGAATCATTTCTCATAAAGGAATAGAACTTTGTATAAGGATTATATAAACTGGGTTACAGGCACACATCAAAAATCATAATATTTTACACCAGGTCCCTAGGGAGTAACAATGACTTTCACTTGGATCCTAGGGAGTCACAGTGACTTTCACCAGTGTCCTATGGACTCACAGTGACACAGTTAAACATTGAAAAAAAGATATCAGATAGCAGTTCTCCCTGTACCTTCTTTTCAGCAAGGTAGTTTTGACGAGGTAAAAACATGGCTGCCATTTGTAGAAGCATGGAATCCTGAAGTTCGAATTCTGGCATGTCATCAGTTCCAAGACCAAGGTAAGTCATTGCAATCTTCATATAAAGGCAATGTCCATGATGCTCAATGTTTTTGCCTAGGTCCCCTTTCAAGTTTCCAATGTTCCAATCCTCTATAGCTATGACTATTCAGACAAATCAAAAGCCATAATGTATTATCATAGGTTATCATAAGAATGCTGTAAAGTATGCATGAAGGTATGATCATATCAACAGATGGGTAGTTGAGGTCATTGTGTTCCTGGTACTGTCTTAGTTATGAGGTTATTACGAGGACAGTACATCGTCGCACCGACCTCTGCGCATTGGACGATACTCCCTTGTACTGTCTTTGTGCATACTTTGAGGTATCCTCGTAATAACCTCATAGTATTACACACAGCAATATAATTATTATTATACATCTTTTATTTTCAAAGATACATCATGGGAATGCTGAAATCCAAAATGTTTAAAAACAGAGTCAGCAAACTTCTTTGTATGGATCGAGTCCTGTCAAACCCTGGTGGCAGCCATGTTTGTTTTTATTATTAGAGGACGCTTACACGCGTAATCATTCTATATTTGGAATTCGCATTTCCTAATATGGTAGGATGAAAATACCCAGTAAAATACCGCAAAATTACAGCATGCTGTAACTTATGGCTTTACGGTGACAGATGTATAATAATGTGCATTGTTCTCATAACATTTTTTTTCCCAAGTTTGTTTTAATAATTTAATATTAAACAACACTTGACACTGTGTGAATGTCTAGTCCAGGAATGAGATTTTATTTTCATCACATACTTGAATATCTGCGTCTGATCTAAACTAGACTAAAAGTTTGAATGGGATGTCAATAGTCTTGAATGTGTCAATGTTAGTGATGTACATGTAGTTCATACCAAATAAGGGAAACTTTGAATGAGTGCAGATACATTTTCAAATGAGTGCAGATACAGCTTTGTGCTATATGATAATGTAGCATTACTATTGTTTATTTCAGGCATATCAAGGCATGACATACTATTATGGTGTATTGATAATGAGTTTGAATTAGTTGAATTAAACACAGAACGTGAAGAAGATGATGATGATGAGGAATATGGTAGAGATAATCTAACTTATTCACTTTTTGTAAATTGATCTTTCCACCTTTTAGAACAGGACAGGAATTTTTTTTCTCAACAGAAAGTTTTGAAACATGCTAGCAAATTATTTACCAGTATATGCAAATTTTATGCAATTTTATAATAAGTTGTCCCAATGGTGCATTCATATTTTCAGACAATTCTGGGTGTTGACTTGAATAATCCTCTCGTAAATAAATTGTGCACCAAAATTTGCATAATAACAACTTATAATATGATTCATAATTTACTGATATTAATTAATGTTTATTTTTAGATATATGTGGATTGAAGAGAATAATTTCAGCTTTACATGCTCACACATGGCCAAATCTTGTGATGAAAGGTATGTAAGTTTTTGTTTTCATTGTTAGAACAGAACACAGAAAATGAATATTATATGTATGGAACAGTAAAGAGAGGATACGTGACTCATGAAAATTATAATGATATAAATCTGATATCATTCGGTCACGAATAGGAGATACTATTTATCCTATGTATGCTTTTTACAGCTTTTATTCATCTTAACTACATTGGAATCAAAACATTTGTGAGAAGGTCAAGGATTCTTAACTTAGGATTCTTATTAATTTGCATAATAAAATGCTGTTTCTTGAGTAAAGTTGACTAACATTTTATAGCTATATAGCATTTTATATAACAATTTTGCAGTTGTAACAATTTACTTATTTTGGAAGTAATTCTATCTTTGGATTTTATTGATTTTACACAAGATTTTATGACAATTTGGCAACCGGTACATTGAGGAAACTGCCAAGTTGAATTTGGGAGAATTAGAAATGGCAAAGTCCATATATATAAAACATTAACACCATAACGCATGTTGGTGAATGTCCGATAACAAAAATATCTAATGAGCTGTATTACATGGGACAGGTATGATACATAAAATAATCATATATAAATTATTTTGAATATTAACAGTTATGGTATTAAAATGTTTTTTTGTTTTTTTTTGTATTCAAAGATATTTTTTATTAAGTCATGTCATTTAAAATATAAATTTCAATTTTACTTATCAATCATATGAAATACTTGTACTTAGTCAGTATGTCAGAAATTTGATACCCCATGTCCTAATATGTGCATTTAATTTCCTTTTTTTGTTGGCAATAACATACATTTGTATTCATTCTTCTGAATATTTTGAACAAAAGGTTTAAGATGTTTGAAACATTTGCAGATATAAATTAAATGCTTTGTAACTAATAAGAAACAAATTAAGCAACAATGGCTCATGTGAATCTCCCAACAAAATTGTTTCATCAGATATTTCTCAACCATGGCATTGAAATGTTAAGTGAGATTAATCCACACAATAAATTGACAACAAATCACTTACTATGGGCGCAAAATTTCTGAATACCATAAAGTCGGCCATTCAGTCAGCTAATATTTCTAGTTTGCAACATCACTAGCCACTTTGCTGGATGGTTTAGTGCACATAGTAAAAGCTGCAATAAAATATTGGAATTGGGTTATTTTTTCATATCTCAAAATTATATCTGGTGACATGGGAGGAAAAATAGCATAATATTGTCAAAACATTTTAAATATTTGACATTCAATTCAATAAGTTTACAGTGTGAACAAATTTGAATTTGGCTCAAATTTCTTAATACAGCAAACAAATGATACATTGTAAGTATCGATAGACTGTTTATCAATTTCTCTTTCCATTGTCATTACTTTTTTTGACCTACGGTACATTGTTTTTGACAAAAATACTTTATTTTCGCTATTTTCGGGATGATTCCTTGAAAATAAAATCCAGCGAATATACTTTTTTTCCTATATTTCACATTAAACTCATCAAAAATCAGTGAAAATAAATTCTATACAAAACGCCAAAAAAGCCTTTTCAGCGAAAATTAATTCTAGCAAAAATAAAGTATTCCACAGTATATGGGCAAAATTATGCAGGTCTATTTTATGATAGGTGACAAACTATTTTGACGTTCAAAAGGTTAGATGTGCACATGTTAACTTATTATACTTCACTTTAAATAATTTCAGATAGGCCTGGCCTAGGTCCACTTGACCTTCTAAGCTTTGGAGGAAGTCCACTCAGTCACAGAGCGCCTCTTCCTGATAATTCAGAGGAAGCGGAAGAGATCCCAGCATGTGGTGAAAAGGCTGAGACTGAAACTCAAGAACGAGCCAATAAAACAGATGATGCTGATCCTGAGGAAGTCGTCACTTCAAAAAATAAAAATTTGGAGAAAAACAAACCTGAAAGTAATTTACATGATAGTGAACAAAATGAACATGATAATGACACAAGTGAAAAAATGGAGAAAGCTGACTGTGAACCGATGGAAAAAGTGAAACCTGACGATAGTTCAGCGTCAAATGTATCACAGGGTGCAAGAAAAAAAGAAAAGCAAGCAAGTCATACAGAAATGATAGGTATGATTTGTTGATGTAAATAATCTAATGACATCTTTTTATAATTGCTGATTATCTAGTAATTTGAATCTTCGTCAGCCAAGAACCGTTTATTCGGCCGAAGCCTCAACATTAACTCTTGGCAGATTTCACCATGATTTACTGCATGTCACACCGAATTAGAACTCACGATAGAAATGACACATTATTTGGTAAAATCATGGAGCTAGCTCCATGGTAAAATTAGTTGAATATGTGATGACCCTGAATCTTCACATTTATGATACAGAAACGCTGATTGGTGGCACCAGCTCTTTGGCACTCCCAATCAAATGACTCAATTTAGCTGAAGTGAAATACAGCTTTTCCTAACACGATCACGCTCGGGTTCGTGGGCCGGTTATGAATGGCCGGCTTTAGCGAAACCGTGTGATTGGGACAATGAGTAATTTGAGGCACAGAAAATGGGTTTCAGATTCTGTTCATCAGGAAATTCATACGTCAACTTTTTCAATATCAAACTAAAGCTTGCCCTTTATGGCAAATACTAGTACTATAGAACTTGTTGAAATACTGGTAGGTACATATACCGGGTACATACTATTTTAGCAAATTTGACTATGAATAAATCTTAATTAAGATAAAGTATCAACCATCTCATTGTGAGAATATATTCTATATACATGTATTAGCGACATTAGCTAATATAACATGCCAGCTAAAAAGACATGTTTTACAGTATGACACCTTCTGAAGTTCTTTTTTCAAGTTCCCTGGTACTGGATTTCTCTTTAAAATCAGGAAATAAAACCACTATCATTGTATTTATTCTCAACATAAAAAAATTGTTTTTGTAGATGATTTGCTTGGTGATGATGAGAGGAGATTATATGAAGCGTTAGGAAGCGAAGACCCTGGTGATACGTCATTTGAACAGATGTTCTCGCAGTTTTTAAAGATGAAAGGTATTTATCATGTGGTCTTATTTAGACTAATTTATTCCATTGTGAATGTCAAAGACATTTAGATGTGAATCAGTGGTACCCGGTAGGCAAATTAACACCTGTTATAATAATGATAATAATGACCGTAGCATTTCTACCCATATTATACACTGTTCTGGCTGTTCTGGTAGTTCAATGCAGTTGTTAA